AATGTAGCCGTTGATGTGGTGAAGGTATGTCGCACGTAGGTGGACACCGCACCACCGCACATTCGTCAGTGTGGTGTTCACCGCATACCTGCGGTGACAGATCGCCACCACACAGTGTGCGGGATGGGTACTCCTACAAGCCTTAATAGTCTTCCTTGAAGTCAACATAGGTAGTAATTAAATGGGGATCAATCACAAGACTTCACTACTTTGTTTTCAACTATCAAATCACTTGATGCATTAATAATCATTTGCAACGAATGAATGAAAAGATATGCATCCACATAACTGTTCAAAACCACGAAAATAAAGGAGAAGGCTAAAATGAAGGGAGGTGAAAGAATAAGTTTTATATGAAGCTAATGGTCATCTATGAAGCTTTTAGGTCTCACCGAAAGTTAAACATATGTCATTTCAATGAGCAAAGTGAGCCATTCCTTTACTTTCCAACCATCCATTTTTTGTTCATCACCTCACACATCACTTATAACGTAGATTTGAAATGAAATAAATATCATATGTAATTGGTGTAACGTAGTAATAGGATAAATCAATTATATTTGTTATAAGCATTTTTTTTTGCTATCAATATGTTATCATATTATACAATATTTTACAAACTTGATTGCATAAATTTGTAAAATAAATTAATAACAAATGACAATTCGGATCGACCTCCATAAAAGAAAGCAAACAAATTCAAAAAAATCTTTCATTTTACGATTTTAACCAATCGTCAAAATGTCCAAGACTTCTTTCTTTTACCTTTCTTCTCATGGGTTTGTCTTTATCCACCTTTAATCATTGAAAAATCTTCCCAAAGGGGTCTTTAACCCACCCATATAATTCTTTAGATCAAAACAAACAAAAAGAGTGCAGAATTCTATAAAGAAAAATGGAGACACTCAAGAGTACTGATGTAGATCAAACCGAAAGAAAAGATACATACAAATTAGCTTACATGATTCATTTCTTACTTGGTGCAGGTAATTTGCTTCCATGGAATGCTTTAATCACGGCCATTGATTACTTCACTTATCTTTACCCAAAAAAGCACATCGGGAAGGTGTTTTCGGTTGCTTATATGGGCTCATCGTTACTAGTTCTTGTTGTGATGATAATTTGGAGTGAATTGAGTCAAAAAGTTACGTTTAGAGCTAGGGTAAATTTAGGATTTACCATGTTTGTTTTTTCACTCATAGTAACTCTAATAATTGATTGGGGTTGTTGTAGCATGGAAAAGTCAATTGTAACTTATTACATAGTAGTTGTGTGTGTGGTGATGTGTGGTTTAGCCGATGGGTTAATAGGAGGGAGTTTAATAGGATCCGCGGGGAAGTTGCCAAAAAAATACATGCAAGCCGTTTTTGCTGGAACTGCTTCATCAGGTAAGTTTTGTATACATAATGAAATGATGAATTAGTGTCATTATTAGGGAAAAACATATTTTTATTCATATATAGTTTTCATTGGTTACTAGGGGATCATGGTGGAGGGTAACAAACTTTTTGAAACGTTTCGGTTAAGTCGTTGGAACTATAAAAATATAAAATGAGAAAATCCAAGTATATAAACATAAGTTTTAAATTTAGTTATAAGTTTTGACAAACGAACTTCTATATATTTATTACTTGGAACTTCGGAAGTTTACCTTTCTAAGTATTGACCATGAAAAGTTTCAAATTTAGTACTTCAAGTTTATGTCTTGACCATCAAAAGTTTCTATTTAGTACTTGAAGTTTATTTTTTTCAATGTTGACCATCAAAGCTTTCAAATTTAGTACTCTAAGTTTACTTTTTGTCCAGACCACCAAAAGTTTTAAGTTCAATACTTGAAGTTGTTAAGACTTGACCACCAAAAGTTTTAAATTCCGTACTTGGAGTTTACTTTTTTGTGTCTCGACCACCAAAAGTTTTAAATTAGTGCATGTTTATTGACCAGCAAATTTCAAATTTAGAACTTGAAGTTTAATGTTTTAGCTCTCTACCACCAGAAATATAAAATTTAGTACTTAAGGTTATCATCAACAAAAGTTTTAAATTTAGTACTTGAAATTTAATTTTTCATTTCTTAAGTGCCAAAAGTTTTAGATTTATGGGGTGTTTGGCTTAGCTTTTCAAACCTAAAAAATTCTTTTTGGAAAAGTTACAAAAAATCTTGATTTTTCTAAAAAGTTTATTTTTCTTATGTAAAAACCTCAAAAGTAGCTTTTAAAACTAGTTTTGCCAAACATCTTTTGTTTTTTTTTCTTTTTCAAAAAGAACTTTTGGGTGTGAAAAACTAAGCCAAACACCCCCTTAGTTCATGAAGATTTTTTTTTTATATCCTAACCACCGAGAATCGAAAATTCAGTACTTGAAGTTTACTTTTTCAAGTCTTGACCACCTAAAGTTCTTAATTTAGTAGTTGAAGTTTACTTTTCCGCATTTTGACTTTTTAGATAAATACTTGAAGTTTACGTTTTTTTTGTCTTTGAAGTTCAAAAGTCTAGAGCACCAAAAGTTTCAAATTTAGTTCTTTAAGTTAACCTTTTTAAAAGATGACCACCAAAAATTTTAAAATTAGTCCACGAAGTTTAATATATCCAAGTTTTATATTTAATCCTTGAAGTTCAATCTATTTGGTCTTGACCATCCAAAGCTTCAAATTTAGTGTGCTTAAAGTTAACCTTTTTAATCCTTGGAGTTTAATTTATTTCAAGTTAACCTTTTTTAAGACCTAACCACCAAAATATTTATATTTAATCCTTGGAGTTTAATTTATTTTAAGTTTCAATTTACCAGAAGTTTTATATGTAGTCCTTGAAGTTTAATTTATTTAGTGTCAACCACCAAAAGTTTTAAATTTAATGCTTGAAGCTCACAGTTTTTAGTGTCGGCCACCAAAAGTTTCAAATTTAGTACCTGACAACCTGACATTCACATTTTTTTAGTCTTGACCACCAAAAGTTTCAAATTTAGTACTTGGAGTTAAAAATTTTGAGTTTGGACCACCAAAACTTTCAAATTTAGTACTTGAAATTTAACATTTTTGAGTATCGATTTCACATTTTTTAGTCTTAACCACCAAAAGCTTCAAATCTAGTACTTGAAGCTCACATTATTTAGTTTTAACCACAAAAAGTTTCAAATTTAGTACTTGGTGTTCTCATTTTTTAGTCTTGACCACAAAAGTTTTAAATTTAGTACTTGAAGCCCATATTTTTTGAGTATTCACCACCAAATTTACTTGGGGAACTAAAATGCAACTTCTCCAATAGTTCAGGGGCCTCCATATGCATTTTCCCCTCACTACTCCAATCTACAATGTCACAGGGATACTGGTTTCTCTCTTGCGAATTATCACAAAGGCATCACTCCCACATGATCCACAAGGCTTAAGAACAAGTGCCCACTTTTATTTCATAGTCACCACCATCATTTTAATGGTATGCATCGTTTGTTGTTCCCTATTGTACAAGTTGCCATGCATGGAACAACATTACAAACAACTCGAACATCACACTCCAACTTCAAAGACTAAATTACAAGACACAGCTAGAACGATTCAATGGCCAGCATTGGGAATATTCATTATATACACCGTTACCCTATCAATTTTCCCGGGATTTTTATCAGAAAATATAAATTCGAAAATCCTTAAAGATTGGTACCCGATAATATTAATCACAACATATAATATCGCGGATTTCTTTGGGAAATCTTTTAGTGGCTTTTTTATGGTAAAGGGTATTGGGAAGGCTGTGTGGGGGTGTGTAGGAAGGTTGGTTTTTTATCCTGTTTTTACATTGTGTCTTCATGGACCTAAATGGTTTAGAAGTGAGGTTTTTGTGGTGTTTTTGACTTTTATGCTGGGGTTGACCAATGGGTATTTGACAAGTGTCATCATGATTCTTGCTCCTAAATTGGTGCCACCTTCGGAAGCAGAAATGGCAGGAATTGTTATGGCTTTGGTTTTGGGGACGGGGTTGGTTTGTGGTTCGGTTCTTGGATGGTTTTGGATCATTTAAAAGAAGTAATTGTATCATATATAATAAATTTGTATAACTCTATAAAATATAAAGTTGTACACTTGTTAAATATAAAGTTGCACACTTGTGGAGAAAAGGTGAAGATTATACTTCATAATATTCTTTTTAGGCTTGTTAGTCTCCTAAGTCCTAAATGTAATGCATCTATCATTTCTGTATGGTTTACTTCCCCCAATCTTTTTGGTCGTTTTTTCCAAGCCCTAAAACATATTTTGTTTGGTTTTTAACATAATCGTGTTTGATTTATGTTCTTGCTGCACGATTTTTTAGGGTTTGTATGAAATCCATTTTTCAACTATGATCTTGCTTCTTTATCTGGGTTTGATTGTCAACTTGTTTGTTGATATGCGATGAAACAACTAGCAAGAGACGTGTGCCCAAAGGTTCTTCCACTGCCACTACAACAAGACGAGTTTCATTGGAAAATAGCACCAAGAAAACAGATCCAGTAATGTTTTGGAAGTTGTATGATGTCTAAGGATCCACTAATTAATTAACCATGATTGTTACCTTTTGAACCAATATACTGTAAGATTGTTATAAAAATTGTTATATTGTTATCTAAGGATCCATATATTACAAATTTGGATGTTGTATGATTATTAGTTTGGATATTGCAAGATGTTTAATTTGTATGCAAAAATAATCGGGGTTAAAATGGTAATTTTCATCATTAAGAGACTGATATTCATATGTTTCACCAAACATCAATTTATCTTTCAGATACAAATTCATACAGAGCCTCTACATCATCCAGATATCTTCATTATTCATATATGAATCATCTAGACGCTACCAAATAGTCCCTTAGACTTGAATAAAGATTATAAAGAAACAGTCTGCCTATAAAACTTGACGCAATCCGCAAGCATCAACTATGTTACACATATTTCCAAAAATTAGTAGTATCATGAGCTAGACTAGAGACGATAAATTGAAATTTTCCTTTAACAAATTCTTCTTTTAGCGATGCTTAATTCGTTTAATCATGTCAACCCTACCAATTCTACGTCAACAAGTGCGTTAACTGGTAAATTCTAATGTTACACAAAGTGATATATTTAACAATGGATTTTTGATATATTTATTTGATTATTTCAAAACTAACTTGACTTTCACACTAATTCG